TCAGTGGTCATATGAACAAGACAAAGCACTACAAGAAATCAAAAGTATCCTAACCAAAGATGGAGGGCCAGTCTTGAGATTTTTTGATGTTCAAAAGCCTGTTACCATCAGCTGTGATGCCTCCCCAACCGGTCTAGGAGGGGTGCTGCTACAAGGTGGACGTCCTGTTGCATATGCTTCAAGATCCCTCACGGATGCCGAATCAAGATATACTCAAATAGAAAAAGAACTCTTAGCTATTCAGTTTAGCCTAGAACGTTTCAGCCAATACACCTATGGCAAGAAAGTCACCATTGAATCAGATCACAAGCCACTTGAGGCCATTGTTAAAAAGGCATTGGCATCAGCACCACCAAGACTGCAAAGAATCCTATTAAGAATGCATGCAGAAGTTTGACTATACATTGGAAAACAAACGAGGAAAAGAGTTAGTACTTCCTGACATGCTCTCCAGAACACCACTTCCCGAGACCACTTCTGGCGGCATGAAAGAAGAAATTGCACTATATGTCCACTACTAACTTCTAACTTACCAGTCTCGAAGCCAGAACTAGAAGAAATTAAAGAAGCCACAGCAAATGATCCATCTATGAAAGAGCTGAAGGAAATGTTAAAATTTTGATGGCCAGAAACGAAGTCTCCCACGCCAGCAACTATTCAAGTCTACTGGCATGTAAGAGATGAGCTCTCTGAAATCGATGGTATTATTCTCAAAAATGACAGAACATTGGTGCCATCCTCTATGAGAAAAGAAATGCTCCAACGAATATATCAAGGCCACATGGGGATCGAAAAATCCAAACGACGAGCAAGAGATGTACTATACTGGCCAGGATTTCCGTTCGGGGAAGTTGTAATGATCAGCGGTATCACACGTTATGGACATGCAAATGTAGAGAACAGACGAGCATCGTTTTGTAAAGAGGTTGGATTTTTAAATTATAAAAAATGTTATCAAAATCCATCGTGTTTTCGTATAAAGAATATTACACTCGATAGCACTCTTTTTTCCGCGAGCTGCGCAAGTGAACAGAAAATTATTGCTGTGTGATAATACCAAGCGTGACTCTGATTGCGTTAGCTACACCTTTTCAACAGTCCCTCGCGCAGAAATGTGAGCCTGGCAAGACAACAACGTAAATGACTCACGAGACACTCACATGAATTCATGAAGAAAAGGGATCAACTTTTCAGGGACGTCAGGAAACCAGGGATCTTTTAGTCTTGGTTTTACATCAAAATGGCTCTACGCCAGAATCTTGTCTTATTGTTCCTCGTGATATGTTCTGGCTGTGTCATCGCCATTGCTAGTTCGACAAGTAAACCAAACATCGTGTTCATCCTTACAGATGATCAAGATGTAGTGCTCGGAGGCCTTGTAAGTAGCGGTCAGTCCGTGATCACGGCCTATTCCAGCGCTTCAGTTTTGTTTCGATAAGATCAAGGGCGATCGATCTGTTTCGATGAAAAGCGAAAACATTAGTCCACTAGCTAATTCCGTGATTTGGGCGATAAAACCTGATCAATAACACTTCTCTGAAAATTATTATTCCAATCATTTCTTTTAAAATTTACCAATTTCTTACAGGAATTAGTGAGCTGTAAGCTAGTTTCAAAATTGAATCTATTTTCGCAGTGATAAAATTTACCCTTGAAATTCTCATGTGATAATTATGGTCACGTTTGGGCTGTCGTTCTTCAAAGACCTCATCAGTAATTCTCTTCACTGTCTGTCGTACGTTCTCATGATGTGAGTTCAGAGAAAATGATATTGAATCAAATGATAAATTCCAAGTTGAGTTTTCTTTTTTTCTCAGCTCTCTGCTTGATACATTAATTGTATTGGTATTTTAAGGAGAAATTTGAATTTTATTTTTGTCTATCACTTAGACTCCTTTAAAGAAAACTGAGACACTGATTGCTCAGCATGGGATGAAATTTGACAACATGGTACGTCACCTTTGCGTTTTTATGTAGAAAACCAGTTAACTAGCTGCAAGTTTGTTTTCTGTGATGATGTATCTGTGATTTCCACCTGCCAACAAGTCCTTTGTGGATCAGTTGGTAGGGACAAAATTTATTATTTGGCAAGTGCTTGTGGCAAAAGTTTAACATCTTTTTCTTTTCCCCACAGTTTGTGACGAGTCCTCTTTGTTGTCCGAGCCGATCAAGTATCCTAACTGGAAAGTATATACACAATCATCGTGCAAGAAACAACTCCATATCGGGAGGATGTTCAAGTCTCGGGTGGCAACGGGGGCCCGAGAAGCACTCAGTCAGCACCTATGTAAAAAATCTTGGTTATCGGACATTCTTTGGTGGGAAGTACCTGAATCAATATGGGATGCCGCAAGTTGGAGGCCCTGAACATGTTCCCCCAGGTTGGGATGAATGGGTTGGACTTGTAGGTAACTCCAGGTACTACAACTATACATTGTCTGTGAATGGGAAACCAGAGAAACATGGAGATACTTATGCCTCTGACTACCTCACTGATATTTTGGTGAGCTCAATACAAATAGCATTAAAATACATGAAGCCACTGACTAGGTAAATTATTTGTTGAAGTTTGCTACCATATCAACCATTTGTTTGAATATGAAGATACCTAACCTGTCAAATGATTAGATTATGTAACTTGTGCAATTCTATGTGACATGTATTAGGCCCATCTTGGAATACACAAGTCCTGTATTCCACCGTTCTCTACCAAAGTACATCAGCGAAGATTTGGAACAGATCCAAAGAAGGGCACTCAGAATCATCTATCCTGACCTGTCATATAGTGTAGCACTAGAAACAGCTGGCCTACCGAAACTTCACGAGAGGAGAGAAAAGATTTCAACCAATCTGTTTGACGAGATAGTATGTAACCCCACCCATAGACTCCGCAGCCTCCTCCCCCAAAGGAAGAGTTGTAGATACACACTGAGGCGCAAAAGTGATTTCACTCTCCCCATATGCAAAACCGAGCGCTTGAAGAACAGTTTTATTTTCAGCCATATTTATAAGATGTAGATAATTTTCCTTCTTTCTTAATGACGAAGTTGTAATATTTTATACTTCTTTCTTTACCATCTGCATTTGTAAATATTCCGTAATTCAGCCTATGGCTGCAAGGTGTTTATAATAGAGTATCTATCTATCTAAAGTAATTCATTGTAAGCCTAGCTTAGGCAGCAATATATACTGATTGTTTGACCCCTAAAAGTGACTGGCATCTAATTAATCCTTGCAGTCATCCCACTGGATCCCTCAGATCAATGTTATGAAAACCAACTGAAGAAACCCTGATTGTTAAACAAATTCTCCTCATTAGCACCTTAGGAAATACAGAGATCAGTGTTGAGAAAATGCATACTGATATTTCATTTTTTTTTTAAATTTCTGTTTTTACTTCTCAGAAAGAACATGCTGTCAGTTTTATAAAAGAACAGTCAGAAGCATCCCCCCCTTTCTTTATGATGGTTGCCACCCCTGCGTGCCACGCCCCTTTCACTCCTGCGCCTCAGTACAAGGATAACTTTAACACAAGTAAGGCGCCTAGGACAGCAAGCTTTAACATGGCAGGTGGACCTGTAAGTAAAGTCATGAAAATTTTTTTTGTCAGTATTTTCTTTGACATGGCTGCTTTCAAGATGTGCCCAGTTCCTGTAAAAACTACCAGAGAATATGTTTCTTTTAACTTGAGATGTTGTACAAACCCATGAACTAGAATTACTTGTACAGGTAATTTGTCTTTTCAGAATCAGTGCAGGTAATCTCAGGTGGGCAACACAAGTTCACCTTCAGTTGCTACTTGTAAACCAATGATGGAACAGTCACACAGGATATGCTTTATAATGCCTGCTTGAAGATCCTCACAGCCTAATTTATAACAATTGTCAAGTTATTGCATTAGGACACAAAGTGTGGGATACTGTGGATTTGAATAGTGTAAGGATTTTAATATTCCTTCTTCTTTTTGTCATTTTAAGAGCAAGCACTGGCTCATCAGAAACACTCCTCATCCCATGAAGGACTCCTCCATCAATGCTTCAGATTCTATCTTCAGAAACAGGTTTGGAAAAATTTGATAACAACCCCCAATATAAAAATTTCCTGGTACTGGACATCTTTTAGAAGCTCACAAGATTTTATTTATTTATTTAATGATTTGTACCAAGTACTGGAGCAGAAACAATAGAACATGGGTCCCCTACGAGGTTTAAGCTCCAACAAACCCACCCATCCCACCCCAGGGGAGGACATCCATCATACAGTAATCTCGTGTGTGGGAAATTAACGTCTCCTACCCCAACCCTGCAGGAGACAGGACCTCCGTTTATTCGTCCCTATCCGGGAAGACTAGAATATCTAACCATTTCTTGATGTTATAGAAAGGTAGCANACAATGGGTTTGGATGACGATCAGAGCTGGCTGCAATATTTCTCATAATGCCATATGCCTCAGTAATTATCTATTAAATAATTACTAGATATAATATAAGTACATATTATGAAAACTCAGTACTTTTCAACCTCCCGATAAAAATAACTTTCGATAAAATCGACATATCCGAGCCACCATCCTGATTTGCCCTATCTGTGTCATTTTTTTCTCTGCATGGGACAAATTTTCTTGCCAATCAGAAACCCTAAGTTAATTTGAAACCTCTACAATTTTCCAAGCTTTGAAGGCGTTTGTTTATCACAGGAGACATCGATGCACATCTTTAATTATAACATAACCAAAGTAAAGCGCGCGCTCGGATTGGTCAATTTAGCGTCCCCCATTTGCCCATGGGTGTACGCTGCTGACGTGAGCAAATGCAAAGACTATTTTTACGCGCGCGCTTGTTTTTTTCTGAGATTTGTTAAATACAAGGGAACTCTTTAGCTACAATGTTTGTAACGCGCTTGTTTTTTTCTAAGATTTGTTAAATACAAGGGACCTCTTTAGCTACAATGTATCAATGTTATGTTATAACACAAATGGCAAACACCCCAGCGTACACTATTGAGTTATGGATGCACTTGGGAGGTTTGCTAAGCACTCAAGAAGCTAGAGTCGCTCTCGGCTATCGCCTCGCGAGACTCTTACGCTTCATTCGTGCTTAGCAACCTCCCGTGCATCCATAACTCAATAGTGTAGCTGTGGTGTTTACCATTTGTTAAATATACAATTTTCATACTTTCCAAGGCAAGGAAGGTTCCTAAGTAACAGGGTATGGTAAAATAATGTGAAAAGCTCTGCACTGAACATCGTGACCTTGTCAATTTTCTCTGTAGAAAAATAGCCCTGGGGCAAAACATTTCTATCAGTGAGCTGGCATGATACAACAAAGCCGTTATTTTCTCATTTACTTTTTATAAGAACTCGATGTAATGATCAGCGGTATCACACGTTATGGACATGCACATGTAGAGAACACACGAGCATCGTTTTGTAAAGAAGTTGGATTTTTAAGTTATAAAAACTGTTATCAAAATCCATCCTGCTTTCATATAAAGAATATTACATGGTGTCAGGAGTAAAACACGAAAGAGGAACTCAACCATCCATGTGGCGAAATTTTGGACAAAAAACAGCCGGCGTTTCAGAGCAATCAACATCGGCGATCCAACTTCATGTCACAAGATCAGTAACTTCTTGACACGCCGGAAGAGGTAGAAAACACCGAAGAAACACAACAACCAGTGGAAATCGAAGAACACACAATCGAAATGGCGAAGCACTTAAGCCTTCCACCTCTAGAACCTCTTGAGTTAAGTGGGGGAAAGATCTCGGCCAACTGGAAGAAGTTCAAACAGAAATACGTAAATTACGAAGTTGCGACCAGAATAAGCCTGAAGGATAGTGCAACCTGTAGTGTCCAGGCCTCCAAGTCCACGCCCAAGGCCCCAATATCTCACCCCGTTCTCACTTACAGCGCATGATAAATACTACGTCTCCTGGGGCCTTGAGCGTGGACTTGGAGGCCTGGACACTACACCTCCTCCCTTTTCTTTAGTGAGGCTTGAAGTCTCTGTAAATTGTTTCCCACGTGGATGTTCTGGCTCGTACTGATCTCCGGGGTTCCAATGGCGCGAATCTCTTTCCCCTTTCCTTTATTTACTTTGATCGTCTTTGTAATATTATGTGGGACATTGCTAACAATCATGCCCCTGAAAATATTAAGCGAGCATTTACTAGGATTTCTGAGGAGCACTCATATTCTACCAGATCTTCTGTCAATGATAATTTTTATACCGAACACTCAAGGCTTGAAAAAATGCGTAGTTCTTTGCTAAGAACTGGTCCCTGTAAAAGGAAATATAGTCTTGCAAGAGACGCACAAGGGACCGACAATCGCGCCATCGGAACCCCGGAGATCAGTACGAGCCAGGACATCCACGTGGGAAACAATTTACAGAGACTTCAAGCCTCACTAAAGAAAAGGGGGGAGGTGTAGTGTCCAGGCCTCCAAGTCTGCGCCCAAGGCCCCAGGAGACGCAGAAGTTTATTATGCGCTGTAAGTGAGAATGGGGTGAGATATTTTTTTGGCTAACGAACAAACTAGGCGAACGGTAAGCGAACTGTAAGCGAACTGTAAGCGAACTGTATAAGCGAACTCCAGAACATTACACAACCAGGGTAGCAACACTTCTGCCAGTTATCGGCAACGATGCTATCGATGTTTTCAGCACTCTAACCTGGGATGAAGACGACGATGACAAGAAAATCGATAGGGTACTGTCGAAATTTGAGTAATCATGACTGTGAACCAAAGAAAAATGTCAGCTACGAAAGGTACAAATTCTTCTAAAGGGCCCAAGAAAGCGGCGAAAGTATCGACCAGTATGTAACAATACTAAAAAAGCTCTGTGAAACATGTGAATTTGGAACATTGAAAAATTCTCTCATCAAGGATCGAATTGTACTTGGTGTAAACAACACGAAAACAAGAGAAAGATTTCTCCGGGTGACAGACCTTACACTCGAGAAAGCAGTAGATGTAGTGCGATCTGCAGAGGCCACGGAAATTCAAATGAAAGGACTAGACTGTGACTCATCAGTGCATGGAATTGGAAAAGAGAAAAAAAAATTTGCAGACAAAAAGACACCCTCAGCTAATGATGAAAAAAGACCTCCAAGCAAGAAGTTCAATTGCTAGAAGTGTGGAACTAAACATGGTCTAAGAGAGTGTCCTGCATATGGCAAAACATGCAACTATTTTCAGAAACGAAATCACTTCCAGAGTATATGCAGATCACGGAAAAAAGTCCATTGACTGGACGTAGATCAACAAGAAGAAGAACAAAATCTTAATTCAACCCCATTTGTAGGAGCTGTCACTACAGAGGTTCAGATCTACAATGAGGAATGCTATGTGAAGCTGCCAGTAAAAGGGCATATCACAAAACTCAAGATAGACACTGGCTCTCAAGTTAACATCATGCCGTTTAAAGACCTAAAGAAGATAGTTGGTAGCAACCCACAGATAAATGCCTGCACACACAATCTAGTAAGTTACTCCGAAGACTAGCTAACTGTACTTGGAACTGCTAAACTACCAGTGAAATCTAAAACAGATGTCGAACAGGAGCCGACGTTCCACATAGTAGAAACAAATCAACCAGGACTATTGGGGTTCACATCATCTAGAGATCTGGGTCTAATCAAAGTGATTATGGCAATCAAGAGAGACGAAGACCAAACCAAACCAGACAGAGGAAAAGAAGTTAAGAAGCTGTCCGAAGAACTGAAAGAAGAAATGCTGCAAGAGTACAAGCAAGTATTCACAGGTTTGAGACGTTCGGAAAAACCTTACCACATTGAAATAGACCCTACTGTGACACCTGTTGTAACCCCACCTAGAACTATCCCAGCAGCTCTTCGCGACCGAGTGAAGAAAGAATTGGATGACATGTAAAAGCGAGGGGTTGTTCGTAAGGTAGAAGAATCCACAGACTGGGTCAACTCCATGGCCATTGTTGAAAAGCCCAATGGTAGTCTGCGAATCTGTTTAGATCCAAAGCACCTCAATAAAGCAATAAAACGGGAACATTTTCAGCTACCCACCATAGAGGACATCACTACACGTATGGCAAATGCAAAACTGATGGTTCACCAAACTAGATGCTAACCGAGGATACTGGCAGATACCTCTTGACGAAGAAAGTCAACTTCTAACACCTTCAACACACCGTTTGGGCGGTACTGTTATCAAGTCACTCCATTTGGAATCACATCTGCCCAAGAAGTTTTCCAAAAGCGGATGAGTCAACACTTCAGCGACTTGGAAGGAGTTGAAACCGATATCGATGACATAATAGTGCATGCAGAAACAGAAGAAAGACATGACCATCATCTACAAGCGGTCCTGGAACGATGCGAGAAGATTAACCTAACCCTAAACAAAGAAAAGTGCATTTTCAAAGTCAAAGAAGTCACCTACATTGGTCACAAACTCACACAAGAAGGAGTCAAACCAGATGATGAAAAGGTGCGTGCCATAAACGACATGCCTGCACCAACTGATCAGAAAGGAGTAGAAAGACTCCTTGGAACTATCAACTATCTGGGCAAGTTAATTCCCAATCTGGCAACCGTCACTGAGCCTATCAGAATTCTGCTAAGGAAGGACATCGAATTTCAGTGGTCATATGAACAAGACAAAGCACTACAAGAAATCAAAAGTATCCTAACCAAAGATGGAGGGCCAGTCTTGAGATTTTTTGATGTTCAAAAGCCTGTTACCATCAGCTGTGATGCCTCCCCAACCGGTCTAGGAGGGGTGCTGCTACAAGGTGGACGTCCTGTTGCATATGCTTCAAGATCCCTCACGGATGCCGAATCAAGATATACTCAAATAGAAAAAGAACTCTTAGCTATTCAGTTTAGCCTAGAACGTTTCAGCCAATACACCTATGGCAAGAAAGTCACCATTGAATCAGATCACAAGCCACTTGAGGCCATTGTTAAAAAGGCATTGGCATCAGCACCACCAAGACTGCAAAGAATCCTATTAAGAATGCATGCAGAAGTTTGACTATACATTGGAAAACAAACGAGGAAAAGAGTTAGTACTTCCTGACATGCTCTCCAGAACACCACTTCCCGAGACCACTTCTGGCGGCATGAAAGAAGAAATTGCACTATATGTCCACTACTAACTTCTAACTTACCAGTCTCGAAGCCAGAACTAGAAGAAATTAAAGAAGCCACAGCAAATGATCCATCTATGAAAGAGCTGAAGGAAATGTTAAAATTTTGATGGCCAGAAACGAAGTCTCCCACGCCAGCAACTATTCAAGTCTACTGGCATGTAAGAGATGAGCTCTCTGAAATCGATGGTATTATTCTCAAAAATGACAGAACATTGGTGCCATCCTCTATGAGAAAAGAAATGCTCCAACGAATATATCAAGGCCACATGGGGATCGAAAAATCCAAACGACGAGCAAGAGATGTACTATACTGGCCAGGATTTCCGTTCGGGGAAGTTGTAATGATCAGCGGTATCACACGTTATGGACATGCAAATGTAGAGAACAGACGAGCATCGTTTTGTAAAGAGGTTGGATTTTTAAATTATAAAAAATGTTATCAAAATCCATCGTGTTTTCGTATAAAGAATATTACACTCGATAGCACTCTTTTTTCCGCGAGCTGCGCAAGTGAACAGAAAATTATTGCTGTGTGATAATACCAAGCGTGACTCTGATTGCGTTAGCTACACCTTTTCAACAGTCCCTCGCGCAGAAATGTGAGCCTGGCAAGACAACAACGTAAATGACTCACGAGACACTCACATGAATTCATGAAGAAAAGGGATCAACTTTTCAGGGACGTCAGGAAACCAGGGA